CGCGTGCCAGGCGGGTACTGACCCGAACGCGCCCCTCTGGGCCGCTCTCGCCGCTGGGCAGCACGGAGCCCCCCACCTCCAAGGTCGGGGTTAAAGTCCCCGGGAGGGGAATGAGCTCTTTTAATCACTAACCTCCCGAAAATAACAGCTTCTGTAGCCGTGAATATCTGTAAATCTCAGCCAAAGTAGCGCATGAGAGGGAACTGTGAAGATCGTGCGGGGGAACGCGAATGGAACAAACTTAAGTGCCCAGGAATGGGAGGGCGCGGGAGGGCAGGCAGGCAGTGGGACCGGCTGTGTGGAAAGACGGAGTACATAACACAGTGAAGACGTTTAGAGCTTCCGGGAGCGGTTCCGGAGGAAACTGTGTATACACAAAAATACCAGCGTGTGCTCGATGTGCTGTGTGGGCAAGTCATAGGGCGCTGTGGATAGCGCAAGGCTCTCCAGTCCCGGATTGGAAACCTCTACCCTTGGGGACAAGCCCCTCATCTCTTGGGCTCCACTTCCTTATTTTATGCCCCTAGGGGAGTTGCAGGAGATGGGGCGTCCCTGTGGGTGGCGGCCCAGCGCAGTGCAGGAGTGCAGGTTGGCCTAGGGACATTGGACCCCACCTGAGATTCCTGGCTCCGCACTCAGGGAATCTCAGGACGCGGTGGTGCCTTGTGAAGTGCCAGTGGGAACCCTGCAAGGTTCAATCCTGCCTTGTCACAAGAGTAAACCCTCTGGGCCTCAGATCAAAACCTCTGGACTCCACCCAGCTCTTTGACACATCCCATCTACCTTATCCAAAGCCACAGGCCCCTCCTGCTGTGCAGGCCGTCCTAGCCTCAGCCCTCACCTGCTAGGCTATGGCAGGACTTCTGTTCCCCAGATCCTCGCTGGCTGGCTCTACATCTCCATCCGCTGTCCCAGTTGGGAGATGCCTTCTTGGACCACTTGTCTAGGAGCAAACAGCAAGGCGACCCCTGCTGTCTCACCCATGGAGCCCTTTATTTCTTAGCACAATCACTATCGCCATCACCAGTGCTACTTAATCTCCAGCTGGAATTCTGTGCTTTGGCTGCTTTTTCATTTAATTATGTATTGTCTGTTGCCCCAGAAGAGTCTAATTTCTGTCCTTACCTATTTTGTCCACCTTGGTACCTCAGCACCTAGGGCAGTGCCCAACAGAGGGTGGCTTTCCCTTTTGGCCTTTGAATTATGCTGTTATGAAGGTGGGTGGGCACATGGTTCTCCAAGACCCTGCTTCAATTCTTTTGAGTTTATACGCAAGCAGAATTGCTGGATCATGTTTACTTTTTTGAGGCATCTCTGTACTGTTCTCCATAGCTGGACTATGTCACATCCCCTTCAGTGGTGCCAAGAGTTCCAACCTGCACTTCGCTCCAACCCTTGCTGTTTCCTGTTTTTCTTGATAGTAGCCATTCTAATGGCTGTGGTGTGATGTATTATTTGTTTTGATTTTTATTTCCCTGATGACTAGTGATGTTGAGCAACTTTTCAGGGCTTATTGACCATTTGTATTCCTTGGAGAAAGGTCTGTTTGAGTCCTTTGCCCTTTTTTGGTTTTGGTTTTGTTGGCTCTCTGCCCTGGCTAAGCAAGCACTCTAGCCCTGAGCTACATCCCTAACCTCCCTTTGCTTACCTTTGAGTTGAGTTTGTTTTTTTTTTTCTTTTTTTTGTGATTGAGTTTTACCTGAGTTGCTTTTTCTGACAGTGCAAGTGGGTGTGTGGGAGGGCCCTTGTCTCCCCCAGAGTGACACAGTTATTTTGCAGATAGTGGTGGGGTAAAGCAGATGCAGGCCTCCTCTGTGCCTTTGAGGCCTGCTGGGGAGAACTCACATTTTCCCAGAGGAGCAAAGCACACACAGAGTTCATCCCCAGCCCCTAGAACCACGTCGTGTGCTGGCCACCATCCGTGTGTACTGCCTCTCTTGCCCCACTGGGCCCTGCTGTGGCCTTGTAGTCCTGAAGGCTGGGGCACAAAGTGGCAAAGGGACTCGCAGGTTACACAGCCCTGCCTGGGATCTGGACCAAGTCCCTCTTATGGGAAGTCTCCATCGGCCTAAGCCATCTCCCTGCAGAAACTTTGGGATCACTGGCTGGAAACCAGGTCTAACCCAAGTCCCCTTTTTCACAAGTGGAGAAAAAAGGCCGACCTGGTACCACCTAGTAACAATGCCCCACCACTTCTCCAGTGCCAGCTCTGCCTTCATGTGCCCAGTAGTATAGTTTGGTGGCCCTGCCCTTCCTCTCCTCAGGCTCATCTGTTTTCTAAGGGGGCATCTTGGAGAGACCGGAAGGCCCAGAAAGCACAAGTCCTTCCCAGCTGTAGCTCATTTCCCAGGTTCTCCTCTCTAACACTGCCTTTGTGGAAGATTTCAAGTCCCCTCAGAAAAAATTTTGGAAAGTTCTGGCTTTGACATCTTGCATGATTTGTTTCCTAAGGCCTTCTTCTCCGGAGTATGCCTTGTCTCTCTGGAGGCGCCTTTTTGTCTGATGTGTTTGTCTGTCCTTCATGAAGCCATGATTCAGTACAGTTTGACCTCCCTGCCTTTCCCTCCCCCTGAGGTTATTTTCTTTTCCAGATTGTTGCTTCCACCAAGAAGAGCAACTACATCTGAACACCCAGGGCCACCATACTGAATCAGTGAGAGAATCTGTCCTTCTATAACATGGCAGGTGATGGCTTGTTGTGGGGCTTTAGACTTCTAATAAGAAGTGGAGGCCGGGCGTGGTGGCTCACGCCTGTAATCCTTGCACTGGAGGCTGAGGCAGGAGGATTGCTATGAGTTCGAGACCAGCCTGGAATACATAGTGAGTTCCAGGTCAGTCTCAATTACATAGTGAGACCCTGTCTCAAAAAAACCAAAAAAAAAAAAAAAAGAAGTGGAATACATCACCTATTACCAAAGAAATCCAAACCCATTTCTTTTTGACATTGATCACCATCTGGAATTATTCTGTTTTGTATTTGCTTCTTTGTTTTACTGTCCATTTCTACTCCATCCAGAATGGACATTTCTCAAAAGTGGGGCTATGCCTACCCTGTCTTCACCCTGCCTCCAGTCTCTGTAATCATCCCTGGGTCAAAGTAGGTCCTTAAAATTATTTATGGAAAGCTGGGCGTGGTGGCACACACCTTTAATCCCAGCACTCAGGAGGCTGAGACAGGAGGATTGCTGTGACTTCAGCCTGGGCTACATAGTGAGTTCCAGGTCAGTCTCAACTACATAGTGAGACCCTGTCTCAAAAAAACCAAAAAAAAAAAAAAAGTAGTTATCGAGTTATGTCTTTATTATCTTTCTTTTCCAGTGGTGGAGCTCAAATCCAGCATTTCATGTATGCTTAAGCATGTGCTCTACCACTGATCTACGTCCCAAGCCCCATCTTTACTTTTGTGTCTCTCACGCACACACCATAAACACGCTCGTGTCGGTGCCAATTCCTTGGGTACCCCCCCAACTACAGTTTCTTTATAATACTGGAGTTTTATAGTGTCAAAGCTTCATGGCACACGTGCCAGGTTTCAAGGGCCCCGGGGGATGTGGAAGCAGAGTGTGCCCAATAAAAGGTGTCATCGCTGGTGCCTGCCAGTGTCAGATTGGCACAGAAGCTTAGATCTTACAGGGAATGTCTGAGTCACTTTGTCCTCACTGGGACAAAATACCCAACACCCACAGCTTAAAGGGGGAGACGTTTGTCTTTCTCAGTGTCCGTCCATGTTTGGGAGGCTCGAAGGCAGAAAAGAGCAGCAGAGGGGCAGGAGAGGAACAGATGCTCCAACCTTGGCTGCCAGGAGCAGATAGGAGGAAGGAGCCAGGGTGAGAGATGCACCCTTCCAGACCACGCCCCAAGACCGGGGTCTACCCAGGCTCCTCTACTAACAGCTCGTGGACTCAACTCCAGTGAACAAATCCACGGTGGAGTGCCGGGTCCTGCGATCCCCTGACCTTCCTTACACGTGTGTTCCGGGGGCCATGTTAGGTCTAAACCACAGCACAGGAGGACTGACAGGCGTCACAGAAGCTGTCCAAGTGAGATCGGGCTTTAGGAGGATTTACTTTTTAGGCAGCATAACTTGGTCCCTGTGCCAATGTGTGTGTTGAGCATGCCAAACCCAAAGATCTAAAACTTTTTGAGCACATGATCAAAATACTCCAGAATCTGAAATTTTTAGCACAAAATTTCAGATTTTAGAGCATTTCTCGTTTCGAATTTTCAGAGCAGGGATTCTCTGCCTATAAAGTCTATGCAAATATTCCGGAATCTAAAGAAATCCCCAGTCTGAAACGCTCTGGCCCCGCACATGTCAGATAGGGATACTTGGCGTGTATTTGTAATTCTCGTAATGCTGAGCTACAAGGAAACATACAGGATGAACTATTTTTAAAGTGCTCCTTGTTTTCAAGTCGTCAAGCCTTAAAAAGGCTGCTTCTCAGCCTGAGCCGCAGTGACTTCGCTGGGTCCTGAGCACCATCTCCTCCTGCACAGGGAAGAAAGTGCTGATCGTCTATGCGCACCAGGAGCCCATGTCTTTCAACGCGGCCCTGAAGGACGCAGCCGTGCGAGAGTTGAGCGCGCAGGGCTGTGCTGTCGCTGTGTCCGACTTATACGCCATGGGATTCGAGCCGAGGGCCACCAGGAGCGACATCACGGGTGAGCTGTGGCCCACGAACTCCATTTGTAAACTTTCTTCCTTTGCTTTTACAATTTTAAACAGCTCTTGAAAAGCTGATTGTGAGGACTGATATAAAGTCTCTGGGTCCCCAGTGCCTGTCCCTTTCCCTGTCCCTCAGCCTTCCAAGCCCATGACAGCCTTCCCCGTGTTTCCCGAGGTGGTTTTCCTCCAGGTTTCACAAAGAGGGTAGCATGTTGTACACATTATTTTGTTTGTTGTTTGCGTCTTTCTACTGTAAAAGGTATTCCCTGAACAGCACCTCATGTTTAGCCCCTACTAAGTTCGTTTCTGATTCTTTGCTATGATTAACTGCAGTGAATTAATAACAGTCATAGAGGTTTTTGCGCATGTGCTGGTTTATCTAGAAGTGGAATAGCTGCTCAGAAGGGTGTGCATTTTTAATTTTCATAGATAATATAAAGTTGCTTTCCATGAATGATGTACCAGTTCACACAACTGCCAGCAATGTTTGCAAAAGCTTTTTTTTGTTGTTACCAGTATTTTGATCATTGCTGGTCTAACAGTTGGAAAAATGGTCTCCTGGTACAGTTCTGGTTTTTCCATCTCTCACTATAAGTGAGATTTAATATCTTAATAGTTTATGTTCTACTCGGTATTTATTTAGATTAATATTTTAATAAAATATTTAATATTCTCTTTGCTTAAATTATCTGTTCATTTTTTATTAGGTATTGGTCTTTTTCTTATTAAAGAGCTCTAGATATTCAACAAATTAACCTATAGTATAGTATAGGATATGAGTTGCAAGTACTTATAATCTGTTGTTATTATTTTGGTTTGAGTTTGCTTATGGTAGCTTTTTGTACACAGGATTTTATTCACTTATTTTGTGATCAGTCTTTTTCTTCTAGGACTTCTGGATTTTATGCCATACTTACATGGACTAAGATAAGTTTTATAGTTCCATCTAGCATTTGACAGATTCTCCTTTGTAGATTAAAATACTTTATGTCTTTGCAATTTATTTTTGTGTACAATGCAATAAGGGTCTAGTTTTCCTCCAAACACCTGCTGAGACATCTCATCACCACTTACTGCGGGATCCAGGATTTAAAACACCACCTCCGCTGTGATCCAAATTAGGTCGCCCTCTTACCCCATTTTCTTATAGTTTTTCTAACAATATTTACATTACTTTTCCATAAATTGTTTTGAAGAAGCTTTCCAGGTTGGAAAAGAAACTTGGTGACATCTTCCTTGAGGCTCGTTAAGTTCAGAGGACTGACTAACCTACAGTGCCCATCCTGTCTCAGAGGAGCTGCCCCCCCGGTTCTGGGTGGGTGGCGGGGAAGTTTGGATGCTCACCTGGGAGTGAGAGCCTCTGTCTCCCCCTAGGTACCCTCTCCAACCCCGACAGCTTCAATTATGGGGTGGAGGCCCACGAAGCCTTCAAGAAGGGGGCGCTGGCTGGCGACATCCTTGCTGAACAGAAAAAGGTGCAGGAAGCTGATCTAGTGATATTTCAGGTTGGTTCTTTCTCCAGTTCATGTTTGAGGTCAGATTCATCATGTACAGACTCCTTCCAAGTACTGCATTATGCACTCCTACAAGTGGTACCAACATTTCAGCACACTGAAACTAACTTGAGCGCAACATTCAGTCACAGTACTTTACCTAGTTAGTAAGGAGATTCACTCACAACCCTGACCTCTAAGTAAATAGGAAGGAGGACTTTTCTGGTGACCCAGTGGCTGGGAACATCTGAATCATGTTGGTCTTGTTGCTTTCATTCGCTCCCCACCCGTCCCCGTCCTCTGTGTGCCAGGCCACTTGAGAGCCAGAGTTCCCAAAGGGTGTGCGGCAGGATCGCTTGGGTGGAAAGCAGCTCCGGCTTTCAGTGCCAATTCTTAAAGGAAATTCTTGTTTCTGTCTTCTTGCTGCTTGCTTCACACCCACACACATACACACACACATACACACGGCACCTTCTGTGTATTTGTCCCCAGCCCCACACTGTGGCTCACCTCCCCAGCAGCACTTGGCAGGCAGGCAGCTGTGGCCATGTCCTGGCCTCCTGTGTCTCCTGGATGTCAGGGATAGGTGCCCATGGCTGGGCAGGAGCCTCGGTCAGCTCTCACTGCACACCGGGGACCAGATGCCCTCCATCCAGACTTCCCAAGCAAGGGGTCTTCAGGGTCCTGATCGACTTCCAGATGCCAGCAGCTCCGCCCAGGCACAGAAGGGGAGCTCCTTTCCATACCCCACTTGTCCCCCTCAATTGCTGGGAGACACAGAGCCACTGTAGTGGTAGCATCTGGGACCAGTGTCTGCTCGGCCTCTCCCACCACATGCTCCCTGTGCACAGGCACACCCGAGCAGACCATGCGGGAAAGGAGGATGATGAGCTAGCTGGCTCCCCATCACCAGGGGCCTGAGCCACCTCGTGTTTCCCCCATGTGCCGCCCCAGTTCCCGCTGTACTGGTTCAGCGTGCCAGCCATCATGAAGGGCTGGATGGACAGGGTGTTGTGCCAGGGCTTCGCCTTCGACATCCCCGGATTCTACGATTCTGGTTTTCTCAAGGTGGGTGCTCCGGGACTCGGATCGCTGTAGGTTGCTGGAGTGGGAGGCAGGAGGAGTGGTAGCTGCCAACTGCCTGCTCTACTTTGCTTCCTTTTGTAAAGCAGGTACTGGTTGAGTCCCTGTGTGCCTGGCGTGCTCTGTCCAGTCGAGGAGCCGGCGCATGCACAGCAAAGGAGGGCGGTGGTCAGCCTGGGCCAGAGGCACTTTGGCTTGAGATGAGTGACCAGCCTGGACTCGCATGGGTCCACAGCTGAGCGCCACGTGCCTTGGGACACCTGCCTGGTGCAGTGGCCACGCATGGGACCTGGTAGATGCTCAGTGTGCGTGAACTTCTTACTAAAGCATTTTCCTACTGGAATAAATGATTTCTCAAGTTCTGATGCCTCAAAAATAAATGCAGAGTATTTAGCTCAGTGGTTCCGGGGCCTTCCTCACAAGTGCAAGGACCTGAGTTCAATTGCTTGTACCAAAATAAATAAAATATGCATATGTGCCGGGGATTTGGCTTGATGTTTCCACCACCTGCCTCACCAGAGTTCAATCCCCGCTACCAAAACTAAAATAAAATAAATGCATATGAGGCAAACAGCCCGAGTAACCAGGCTCTGTCTTGGGAGGTGAGTGACACGCCATTTGTTAGTGGCTGCGGTCGCCTCCAGCCCAGGGTCCACTGAGGACACCACACCTGACGCCCAGCCCGCTAGAAGCCTGCACACGGTAGCATTTTTAGGTCCACTCACCTGTCACTGGGTGTTTTGTCCCCTTTGTCTTCATCACGTGGTGGTCGCCTGGAAGATGGGGTGTTGACGTCTGTCCACCCCAGCCACTATGAACCATCCATCCTCATCTGTCAACTACACTAACACCTTTCCTTTCTCTGCACAGAGGAAATTAGCCCTCCTTTCCTTAACCACAGGAGGTGTAGCCAGCAGTTACACAAAAGCGGGTGACTATGGAGACTTCCGGTACTTCCTGTGGCCACTGCAGGTAAGCAAGCGAGAGGCTTCTCCACCATGCTGTCTGGAGAGCCGACAGCACACAGCATTCTCTGTCTCATTACAGAAACTGGTAACTTGCTCCCGTTTTTAATCTTCCCCATGGCAGCACAGTAGAAGTTGGCCAGTAGGGAAGACATGTATTATAATAATCACAGCCTTTACTATCGTTCGACCTGAAGCCAAGCCAGACCTGTGTAGGGTGTTGTCTGTTTTCTGGGGACTGAAATGGCCTCCGATGGTGCTAGGTGTGTGTGTGTGAGATGAGCTAGGGGTTCAGTTGCACAGCCACCCACACAGCAGTGCTCATGAAGCCAGCACCATGCTGGGCCCTGGTGAGAAGCGGGCCCCAGCCCACCTCGTGGAGAGCACAGCCCCTCCTGGGACCCGACTCTGTCCTTCCTGCCCTGCAGTCCTGTCTCCCAGGCTGCACTCCCAGACGGACACCTCTGCCCAAGTGCACCCTGGGCCTAGGGGTGGCAGCAGGCTGGGTGGCTGTGGGCAAAGCTGGAGCGGGCTCCAGGACAGGGACCTGGGAGATCCAAAATCTAAGGGTAGCGGCACAATCAGTGGTAAGCACGATCATTGGTAAGCGCAGCTCATCCATTGTGGCTGCCCTCCATCCTCCCTTGCCAACTCCTAAGTGTCAGGATGAGGGATAGGAATTTCAAAAGGCAGGGTTCTTGCTGCATGCCCAGGGTTCTGGAGCCCTGTTGCCCTGAGATGGCATCAATGTGACCTCGCGTATGCCAAAGTCAAGTTGATTGTCTTCCAAGTTCTTCCCCTCATTTCTTAAGCCTTCCATCCCACCTTGGAGGAGAGTCTGCTTTGTTCAGTTACAGCATAGCATTGGAGTCATTTAACGACTTCCTGAAAGTTTGCTTCCTACGCTTCCCCTTCATTCATTAATCTAACGCACCTAACAGGCATGGCTTCTGACCGGTGCTCTCTTCTCTGTGGCTTTAGCATGGCACATTGCACTTCTGTGGATTTAAAGTCCTTGCACCTCAGATCAGTTTTGCTCCTGAGTATTCATCAGAAGAAGAAAGAAAATCGATGGTGGCCTCATGGACCCAGCGGTTGAAGAGCCTGTGGACCGAAGAGCCCATCCAGTGCTCGCCACCGTGGTACTTCGGGCAGTAACACCTGCATCTCGGAGACCCACGCGCACAGGAGCAGACGCTGTCATGAAGCAAGGTTCCCACAGAGAACCAGATCTAGTGCATGTGCCCACGGGTGAGTCCAGCCGGGTCACATAGTCCACTACAGTGGCTTGTTTTCATGGATTCTGTCAGCTGGTCAGTGTTCACCCAACTTTTCATTTCTTTAGCATTTATCTAAACATGTCTCACTGTGTTCGGTCTTCAGGGAAGTTTTAATTTCCAGATCTCTGGACGTGGAGCTGGATTTGTTCTTTTTTTGTTTGGATGGTTTTATTTCATGACTCAACTTCAGAGTTCTTTACTTTCATAGGAAAGTTTAATCCATTCACAGCTAATGTTTTAGTGCTATGTTTGTACTTGTTTTTTCTTTCTTTCTCTTTATACTTGCATTGTGACCATGAAGTTTTAATTGAATGGCTAGTTACCATGTTTTTAAAATCATTTAGTATGCATTACAATAAAAATTTCAGTGCCTTAGCCTGGTGGCCTCTGGTCATTGTGTGCACAGTCCTGGAACACGACAGTGAGTTACCCCGAAGCGCAGGCCCAGGTCCCTGGAGGATGAATGTGAGTGAGTCCACGAGCGTGAGTTTAAGGGTTCAGATATCACCATCTCCGTCACCCTTGCCTGTCCTATTGGCGTCACCCTCCCACTCTTTGTCATCACTGCTGAGGACAGAGCTGCCACCCGCGCCCAGGGCACCATCTTCCCAGCACCAGCCCCAGAGCCCAGACTCCCCTGGACTTCCTGAACAGGTCCCCGTTGGGATCATGGTCTTCACACCACTTCCTTTCCCCTGCAGCCTCCGCACCTCTGCAGCAGCTCCTTCACATCCTCCTCAACTGCATTTCCTTCCCACATTGAATACTTTTCCAAATACCTCTTTCTTTCTTTCGAGTCTTCCTAACTCTCTTCCAAGTCTTCTTCATGAATACTTTCTCAGGGCCACTTTCTTCCTACTTTTCCCTCAGGACCATTTTTTTCCTGATTATTTTTGAAGCCATATTCAGGCTGATCTTTCCAAGACATTTTTTTTTAAGCCTTGCTTGGAATTGTCTTCTGGGTCTCTTTCTGGACCTACTTTTTAAGAGTTCATTTCAGAAATATTTGCTTCAAAATCTCCCCACCTCCTTGTTTTTCAAGCATCTTTTCCCATATAAGTCCTTTAATGCTGGGCGTCCATCCTGGCTGTACTGAGGTGCTCCCGAAACGCCTTACTTTAGAAAGCCCTGCCCTTTGCAAAGCAGTGGTGACTCTGGGCCACTGCCTGCGCCTTGGCTCCAGGGACATGAAGGAAGTTCCCACCCTCTCAGCCTTGCACTCCCTTCAGCCCAGTCCTCTTTAGCCCCATCCCATGTTGGACGGAGTTTCCCACCCTGCAAACCACTTTGCACCGAAGGTTTGAAGATGGCGACCACTACCCCACATTCCTCCATCTGAATGTCTTTCAAAGAGAAGGAGCCTCCTCCTCAGCCCAGACTTCCCTGGCACCTGCTCCCTGCACACCTGTTAGAGAGCGAGGGCTGTGCCCATGTGCACCCAGCCTACATTGCAAGTGGCGGAGAGCGGCTCTCAGCAGGACTGCTCCCCTGTGAATGGGCTTGTGTTGCTCTGAGCACGGGCGTGAGAAGTCATGGACTTCCAACCTCTGGACACTTCAGGGTTTGTTGCTCATTCTGTGGTTTCTCCTCTGCTCTGGTGCTTGCAGAAATGGTGCAACGGTGCTCCTGGTTCCCACTCTTAATAGGGGCCTGAAGGCTCAGGAGGCCAAGTGGCGAGAAATGCCCTGGAGCTGTCTCCTTTTTTCCTGCCAACCCAAGAACGCATTGGGCAGCTCAGCTTCCTACTCCTCCCTGTTCAGCAGGCTGCAGCTGTGTGAGAGGCTGGCAGCTGGACAGCAGCACTGCATGTGAGAGCCGTGTTCTGGGGTCCTTTGGGCAGGAAGCCCTCCATCCTCCCTTGCCAACTCCTAAGTGTCAGGATGAGGGATAGGAATTTCAAAAGGAAGGGTTCTTGCTGCATGCCCAGGGTTCTGGAGCCCTGTTGCCCTGAGATGGCATCAATGTGACCTCGCATATGCCAAAGTCAAGTTGATTGTCTTCCAAGCAAAATTGCTAGCAATTTGAGAGCTGGAACCTTGATTAGATCCTATTAGCTCTCTCCACCAATCATTGGTTTTTAAAATCTTATCTTACTGTGGTGAAATATAAAAATAAATCCAGCATCTCCAGGGTGGCAGGATTACTGTTCAAAAACAAAGGGAAGTGACTGCAGCCGTGGCTCTGTTTTAAGGCACCATATCTCTTAGGAGCACTGGGCACTTGTGGATTCACAAAGGTGTCTTTGGCTGTACAGTTAGGTCTTTGAGCTTCTTTATGTGAAGGTTGTTAAAAAAGAGGAAGGACATGTATGTTGCTCCATGTTAGAAAGTAGCAGGAGCTGGCGGGAAATTCTCAGAGCTCCAGGGCACAGTTGGTGCCTTGAACCCAGGGAAGAGGGAGGCAGGCAAATGTCACGATGTGAAAGACAAGCATTACTGATGTGCAGTGCATCTAGCCACTTGTTTCATGAAAATGCACTGGGACTAAAGCTTATCAGGAATCAGATCATGTGTCATTTGAGCTCTTGAATCAGTGATAGAAATTTTTAAATTTTGTTTTTATGAGCACGTTTACAGCACACGATTACATTCCTCATGGGGAATTGGTACATGTACATAACACATTTTAATTTTTTTCCCCTGTCCTTCCTCCCTGCTCCTTCTGTCTCTTGGTCCTCTGTAATTTTTCAAAAGATCTGCTTTCCTGTTTCCTATTACCTACAAGAACCAAAGTTCGGTACTGATTTATCCCAGAAGGAACTGGCAGTCTATAAAGAGATTTTTACTAGGATCCCCATTTTACAGATGGAGGAAAAAAAATCACAGAATTACAATAACTTGTCCAGGGTTTCACCACTACAGGTGGGCGAGCTGAGGGCAAACTAGGGCAGCCTTGTCAAGAGCTTGGGCTGAGGTGAGTAGTACAGGAACTGGAATGGCAGTGAATACAGCTGGTTTTAGGAAGTGACCCCCCAAGAACTCTACAGGGGAATTCACAGAACTATAAATTTGAGCTGCCCTCTCACAACAAGGACTGCAAGTTTTATGCATCAGAGATTCTTTTGCCAGTAGGTTAAAATCCTGCTGACATTTTCATTTCTTGCTCTGTGGCAGACAGGAGATTTGGAGAAGCTTTGCAGCAGTAAAACTTACATGCATTATTGAGGTCATAAGAAACTAAGGGAAACATTTAAGCAAATCCCCAAACTCCTCACACCACAACAAAACTAGTTGCTGACAAGAGAGTAGTAAAGACGTGTGGCTTCCTCCAGGACTATGTTGGTTACCTTTTCATTGCTGGAACAAAATACCTGACACCCACAAGTTAAAGGAGGAAAGGTTTATTTTGGCTTAGAGTTTGTAGATGTTTCAGTCCTTAGTTGGCTGGCTCCAATGCAGGGTGGCAGGGCAGAGTGGGGTCTCAGAGAAACAGTCCATGGCAAGGCAGGCAGGAAGCAGTGAGCCTCCCTTTCCCTTTTATCTCATCAAGGGTACAAGCATAATGGTTAATGCCACCCACACCCAGAGTGGGCCTTTTCTTTATCCACATCCAGAACTAAGCCAGTCAGTGAACTAATTTAGTCAGCACACCCTTAATCCATATTCACATACCCTAGATCCAACCACCTTTGAGCATATGAGACTTTGGGGGACACCTACATTCAAGCCATAGCAGGATCTGATACTGATAACCTGGAAAAATTGGGTGAGACCAACCTGTAAGTGTGTGACATGGACAACTGAGCTGGGACCCTGTGCAAAGGGATTCTGCCTTTATGAAAAGATGGGTGGAAAAACACATCTGCTCTTAGAAGGAGACAGACAGGTAACCTATTTCCTTCTCAGCTCTGGATGGAAAAATATCTCTTCTGTAACATGGAATCTTGGATTGGACTTTATTCTACAGACATTTAAAATCTAAAGAAATCAAGTGGCTCCAAGTGATAGTGACCGTTGGTATAGTAAAAAATAAATTATTTCTGGAGAGAAACATCATCCTGTGCCTCTGAGGATTCCCTCTATTAAGGTCAACTGGATATGAGCCCTCCAGCATTACCAAACACAAGGAAACAAGACAACATTACTGTGAATAAGCAAAACCACCTAGTAATAGATTTACTCACCCATGAGCTTCAAATACTGGCATTATGAGCTATGTAACAAAATAACTGTATAAACCAAATATACCATGTTTAAAATGTTCAGAGACTTCAAAAGTGGTGGGATAAATTTGAAAACTGAGTAGATCTTGTAGAATGGAAATACATACAAATTACAACTAAAGTCTGACTGTGTCAAATATTAGACCCTGATAGAATTAATGAAGTGAAGATTTGGACAAATAAATGAGGAAAGACAGTTAAGAGGCATGGAGAATGAAGTAAAATGATGTAATCTGGTTTTAACTGGACTTCCAGGCTGAGAAAATGGTGGGTGCCATATTCAGAAAAGAGAAGGGCCCAGAACTCCTCCGAACTCAGACACTAGTACCCAGACACTTGCTACAGCAATAGTCTCAAGGAGGGCAAGCAAATCCAATATTCAGTTGTAGCATGGTGGAACTGTGGACCATAAAACAGAGAAAACCAGATCAACTATAATGGAGCAACAGTTTAACTGACAACAGGTTTCCCAGTAGCAACAACAGGAACAAGTAAACAATGCAATAGTGTCGCAAAAAAGGACAACTGTAGATCTGGATTTTCTTTTCAATTATTAGAATAAAATAAAGACATTTCAATAAGTCAAGTAGGTCTGGTGGCATACACCTGTAATCCCAGCACTCAGGAGGCTGAGGCAGGAGGACCACTATGAATTTATTCAAAGCCAGCCTGGGCTATACAATGAGTTCAAAGCCAGTCCTGTGGGGTATATCTCAAACAGCATTTGGAAGGATGTTTATTTCTTTGAATGTTCAAAGAAGAAAGACTGAAAATAACTCAGATAAATGGCATATGCAGGAGGGAGTATGAGAAAACACACATACACAAGACATTTTGCAGAAGACTTGGCCAATGAACATAAGCAAAGATGTCAGCTTAATGATTAAAATAAATGCAAATGAATAATAGCACAGTGTTCTAGGAGGCTACATCCATCTCCCTAGCAGGTATCCTGAAGTTTGGATGGCATCTAAAGAATGAGGGTGATGGAGAACTTCCGCATCTTATTACCCAGTGAAAGCGTAATTGGTTTAAGATAGAGAACACAAATGGTTCCTTTGAAGACCGGGAACCCTTATCATCACATTACTACTATGAATATTTAATTATAATTTTACTACCCGAGTATGTAACCCTGAGTGACTTTTATTTGGCATGTTTTTGTTCTTAG